ATTCCTAACGTCGCCGTCTGTCGCACGAATCGCATGTTTGCCTTCTCTCTCTTTCTCCCTCGAATTTTTTCGCTCGGTTCGTTCGCGATGAGTCTCTCGATCGCTGGAAGAAAAAGAGGGGGAAGCGCGGACGTCGTTTCGTTTCGTCGCGCGTGCGCAAACGCCTCGCGCGCGGGTATAAGTAGCGCGAGCGTGTTGCCGTATCCGTAGAAAAAAAAAATTTATTTTCTAAAATCAACGAATCGTTCGCGCGCATCGGTGAGATGTCTCACAGTGGTGTGTTTCCCATACTGGTGGACGGTTACGAAATTCTCAATCTAACGGTGGAAGAGTTGCAATATATTCCGAAGGTCCTTCTGTTGCGTCAATTTGGGAGATACGTGCACCTGTTGTGGGACCGTTTGCCGGAACATATACAAGCGGATCCCGAGGTGCAGAGATATCGCCCGTGCATGCGACACTACAATCGTCCGTGGCAGCGAACGCACATAGACGGTCCACCGCCCATCAAGGACTGCCACGAGTGCAATTGTTTTCGCCCTGTGAACGGTGTATCTTCGATTTCCCGTTCGAACTAAGAAGAAGCGAATGCTCCTCGCGCAACCGCGACCGAATGCGCGGCACCGGTCTGCTCAATCGCGCGATAAACGCTCTTCCCTTCGAACTGCACATACCCGGTTATCAGTTCTGTGGGCCCGGTACGCGTCTAGCGAAGAGACTAGCGCGCGGCGAAGAAGGCATCAATCCGTTGGACGCGGCGTGTCTGGAGCACGATGTCGCGTATTCGCGAAGCGGCGAGCTCGCCGAGCGACACGTCGCCGATCGACGGCTCGCCGAGAGGGCGCGCGAGCGCGTCACCGCGAAGGATTCCACGGCCGGTGAGAAACTCGCCGCAGCGGCCGTATGGGCGGCTATGAAGACGAAGACGAAGCTGGGCATGGGTATGGAACGCAAAAGAAAAACGAGAAAAGGAACGGGATTGAGGAGAAGCGCGAAGACGAGAAGGAAGAAGCGGAGGATACTTCCGACGGCGAAACGCGGCGGCTTCTTGCCCTTTCTACCGATGTTGGGCGCTCTCGGTTCTTTGATCGGTGGCGCGGCCAGCGTGGCCAAAGCGGTGAGCGCCAACAAAGCGGCGCAAAAACAGATCGACGAATTGCAGCGACACAATCGCGCGATGGAGGGTCGCGGGTTGTACCTCGCGCCGTATAAGAAGCGCGGAGGTGGCGCGAGGAGAGTCGGCGAAAAAAAAAACCTTGCGTAAAAAGGCGAGGTTAACGCGTCTACCTCCGTACGGCGTCACGACCGACGAACAGCTCGATCGAGCGGCGCGTCGCCTGCGCGTGCCGTTCTTCCGCGGGGTGTTCATGCGCGACGCTCTGCCGACGAGGGTGCGACGCGCGGAGTGCGGCATCGTGAATCTCGACGACGAGGTGGGCCCGGGCACGCATTGGGTCGCTTATGCTAAAAAAGGGAACTCGGCGATCTATTTCGACGCGTTTGGAAATCTCCGCCCGCCGAGGGATCTCGCGCGACGGTGGCGACAAGAGCACGATCGTGACGTATAATCGTCGCGCGTTCCAGACATTTGATCAGAGAATCTGCGGACAGCTGTGCCTGCGATTTCTTCGCGAGATCGATTGGGGGGTAGCGGGCGGACGATCGACGTTCTCCCGCGATGTCGCTGACGCTCACGTTGACCGGGACCGGCAGCGTTCTCACGGCGAGTCACTTTCCCGCTTTGGATCTGAGCGACGGCGAATACGAGCTGGGTTTGGCGACTTTTGAGACGTACAATTCGATACCGAACGTTACGTCCGCGAACAATCGCTTCTACTACGGCAAGGACGACCGGCGAATCGTCGTTCCGGAAGGTTCGTACGAGCTGCGAGCCGTGAACAGATATCTGCACGCCGCTCTTCTCCATCGCGAACGTCGCGCCCGCGAGAGAGACAAAAGTAAGGAGAAAGGAGGAAAGGAGAAAAATCGCGGACCGACGACGCTGGACGGGTAAAAGAAAAAAACCGAACGGAGAAGGACGAAACCGACGACGAGATTTATCGCGCATACGTGGACGAAGACGACGATGACAACGATGGCGACGGTTATGACATATACGGAGACGACGACGGTGGCGACAGAGTGCTCGATCTTCGCGCCAACGAGAATACCATGAGAAGCGAGATAAAGTGCGCCTACCGAGTGAATTTTACAAAACCGAACAACATTGGTTCTCTTTTGGGTTTCTCGAGCGACCGTATCCTAAAACCGAACAAATGGTACGTTTCCGACGGACCCGTCGACGTCATGAGCGTGAACATAATTCGCATCGAGTGCAGTATCACCGCGGGAGCGTACAGCAACGGACGCTCGGTGCACGCGATACACGAATTCGCGCCGAAAGTTCCACCGGGATATAAACTGTCGGAGACTCCGACGCAGATCATTTACCTCCCGATCGTCGCGCGAAACGTCACCGATATCACGGTGCGAGTCGTGGATCAGAAAGATCGGCTGATCGACTTTCGCGGCGAGGAGATAACGATTAGATTGCACGTACGTCGTCGTCACGGTTAGTGTGTGTGCGCGCGTATCCCTGAAGAAAGAGAGAGCGAGAGGAGGGATGCTCGTTCTGAACGGATCTAGCGCGAATTGTACGAACGAGCGAGCTAGCCCGTTCTACGACGAGATCCGAAGCGTAGGAAAGAGAAAAGGCGGAAGAGGGGGACCCGTTCTCAGCAACGCCAACGTCAGATTCCTACGATCGCTGGGTCTCGCCGTGAGAAACGCGTCACCGTCGAGCCGTTTCTACCTCGAGAGGAAAAATCATGGCCGACATCCTGAGTATCCAAGTTGCGTGAGACGGAGGAGACGCCCGACGCACGAATCTACGTGAAAGGTCTCGAGAAGAAGAAATGGCTGCAGGAGATTCTCGGCGACGTCGACGCGACGATCGTGACCGTCGACGCGGAGTACGAGGACGTCGATCGGTTGGAGTCTCTTCACACCGATCGCGCGTTTCGCTGCCGGCGTCACCAACGGTGCTGCGCCATGGAGAACGTGATGAAGTTGCGCGATTGGTGGATCGAGCGACGCGAATGTTTCGCCAGCATCGACTCCGTGAATTGAAATACTTTATAAATTTGTGTAAAAAAAACGTTATATATTACTGGTTTAATATAATTTCATTTTATTAACGTATTAATCGTTTTATTTTATTGCGTTGCTCGTTTTTTTATTTTGTATATATATTGTGTTTAATCGTTTATTTTTACTCTATTGTATCATATATGTATATCCTTCTATCTGTTTGGCGCTCACCAAACTGTAGTTAGATGCATGTATTGTTTAGTCTCGTTACTCGTTGTACATAATATTCTTGCGTACCTAGTCTTAAGTATTTCGGTGACTCGCGCGAAACGTCGGCGGATCGCGATCAACGCGGAATCGATAATTGCGCGACTCACCAATCGGTGCTGCCCTCGCTCACCCCACGAGGGCACCCGCCTGCAGAACAAGTACTCGCTCGCGACACTGTTCCAGCGCCGCGAGCCCTCAGCACTCATCGTTACGCCGGCTCATCGTTACGACGTCTCATCGTTACGACGTCTCGGAGCACGGAGCGATTAACGGAGCACAGATAGATTATCGGAGCAGAGAGACTTGCGCTAATATCCGGAGTCGCGAGATCATCCGTTCGCTCCCGGATAGTGCGATCGCCTACTTTCTCTGCCTGTTTGTGTGCTGCCTTTACCTGCTTCCTCCTGCTTGCTTGCTGCCTGCCTTAACTTACTGCTGCCTGCCTCGCTTTCGCCTTGCTTGCTGCCCTGCTTGCGTTGCTGCACGAGCCCGATCGCGACCGAGACGAAGTCTCCAGGAGTCGACGGCACAACGAACGGTGAGTCGCATTTGTTTAACTTAACTTTCGCTTTGGGGAGACTTTACACATCTCCCCTGGTCCTTCGAGCTTCGCTTTATCGCAAATCCGGGTACGGCTCTACCGCCCCCCGAGCATCTGGTCCTTCGAGCCGGATAATCATATCTTCGCGATTAGTCTATTACCGCCGACCTTTCGCGTGCCCTTTCATTGTTCTAAGTCACCGAATCTTTCTGTAACGCGTAGTGCAATAGCGCGTGACCTTGCGGGTCTCGCAGGATCTCCCGTATCGCAACGCTCGCTTCGCGAAGGGAATTCTCGCGTAGCATCGCGCAATCGGCCATTAGCCGCCTGTAATCTACGCGATTTCGCTGAATTCATATTCTCGCATTAACGAGGTGCAATAACGCTCGGCGTGCTGACAACTCGTGTCTCGCGCGGTATCTCTCGTGCAACGCTAGCTTCGCAACGGGAATACGCGTGCGAACTTCGTTCGTCATAGCTCGGGCCGCAGCCGTTATTAATCGCCTTAAAATCGAATCCGCGCTCGCCGCGGTAATTAGTCGACATTTAATTGACTTGATCGTAACCGAAATATTCGGTCGAATATCCGAGTATTCCGGGCCAGCGATACTTTCGCGCATAGAGACAACGGCCGTAGCCTTCGATTACGGGCCGGTCTCGCGCGCGTTGTTTTTCTGTATAGTCTCGAGCATCGCTCGTGTTTACGTCGTTGCGAGGTACGTACCGCCCGACCCAGCACTTGTATTATCCCGACATTCGTGATCCGTCCGAGAGTACCATCGCTCGGAAATATTATTGTCACCGATCGAGAATATTTGCCTTTCGAACTCTGCGACGCGTGTTTATCGCGCTAATCCAACGGCTGATATTCTCCGCGTCCAACTCGAGGAATATTATCGAGAATATTCCCTCGGGACTTGCGCGAGCGCCGAACAGAGCCGTCCGTTACCCCTCACCTTGGCGACCTGACTTTCGTGATTGTTTTCGCCGGGTTTCGATATTGTTGGTTCGAGTTGCCGTCGCCTCCGACTGCCTATTCGTCGTTTACCCTTCGCTCTTAGCTTCGTCTGTCTGTGGTGGACGACCCCTTTGTTACATCATGTCGAAAAACGCATATGCTCGTCGCGAAGTGTGCAATCGGCGTATGCAAGAAATACACGACCTCTCCCTACAAGCCGCGACCGACGCGGCAATACGAGCGACCTTCCTCGCTCGCTACTCGAGTGTAGCGAAGATCGCGGACGATTTTGAGGCCATCCACCTGAAGGTCATCCAAGAAGCGGCGGATTTCGAGGCCGAGGACGCAATCCGAGCCAGTTTCGATAAAATGCATTACGCCGTAAAGAGTCGATATCACCGGGAAACGGGCGCGCCATTCGGAGGCGCGCCGGCACAGCCCTCGGGTCCGGCCTCGGTGGTCAAGTTGCCTAAGATCCCGCTGCCGCAGTTTTCCGGCGACCTTACGTTGTGGCCTTCCTTCATCGCGTTGTTCAACGCGGCGATACATAACCAGCAGATTTCCGCGATAGAGAAATACCAGTATCTGCTGGCTTCACTCAAAGGGGAACCACTCAACATGGTGAAAAACCTGCCGTTTTCCGATGAGTACTATTTGATCGCTTACGACTCGCTGGTCGATCGATACCGGAATAAGAGAAGGTTAGCGGACCATCACTTGAATTCGATAATCGAGGCAAAGCCATTGAAGGCGGAGACGGCCGAGGCTCTTCACCACTTATTAGATACGTTTACCGAGAACACACGCGCGCTCGCATTAATGAAGTTCCCTACCAATTCATGGGATTTTATCCTACTGAAGTTTTTGTTAGACAAGCTTCCTCGTTCCCTTCGGGAAAAATTCGAGTCGGCTCACCGGGCTGAGGAGATACCGCGATATACACAACTCACGAAATTTCTAGCGGAGCATTGTCAGGTTCTCGAGGCCGTCGCGGGCCCGTCCTCCAAACCCAAGTCCACACCGGTCTCGTCGTTCGTGACTAACGCGGCCGGTTGCCCCGTTTGTAAGGAGTCTCACTACGTGTCGAAGTGCTCCCAGTTTTTAAAACTCTCGCCGAGGGAGAGGCAGGCTAAGGCTCGCGACTTGAGATTGTGCCTCAACTGCCTGCGCTCGGGGCACGGCATGAAAGACTGTCCGTCCGCGTGGGCATGTCGGTCCTGCGGCACGAAGCATCATACGCTTCTGCATTACGAGCAGAGCTCGAATACTACTCCTAAGCCCGAACCCATTAGCGCGACTCCTGCCGAACCGGACGCCGTACCCGCTCCTCAGTCGGAGGATGCGCCGATTGTAACAATGACTAGCCGGGCCAATAGAATCGTCCTCCTGTCCACCGTACGAGCCGAGGCGATAGACGCGCGTGGCAATGCGTTCCCCGTACGCATATTGCTGGACAGCGCGAGTCAGGCCAACTTTATTACCGAGGGCTGCCTCCGGAAGGGCGGCTTTCGTCGCACCAAACACAGTGCGACCGTGTTGGCGATAAACGAAGCCAGGGCGGCCACGACGAGGGGCCTCACCTCCCTCGTGATCCGCGCACGCGGTCGCGACGACACTCGGTTCTCGATAGAGGCTACGGTCCTCTCGCGCATAACCTCGCCGCTGCCTAATGACAAGGTGGAGGTCCAGCCGTGGAAACACTTGAAGGGATTGCCGCTCGCGGATCCCGAATATTTCGTGCCCGGCGGTGTTGACATCCTCCTGGGGGCGGACTCGTTTGTGTCGGTGCTACGGGAGGGCCGTCGTAAGGGGGAGAGGGGAGAACCCGACGCCTTCAATTCAGTCTTCGGATGGGTTCTGACGGGCGCGGTATCCCCATCAGTCCAGGCAGCGCCCCTGAGGTCATTCGCGACTACGCTCGAGTCGATCGCGACATCGGTGGGTCGCTTTTGGCAATTGGAGGAGGTGCCGGAGGACACTTCTTGTTCGGACGAGGATCGACGCTGCAAGGAAATCTTCGCCAAGACCACGTATCGTGACCCCTCGGGTCGTTTCGTGGTCTCGTACCCGTTCGTGTCGGATCCTCCTACATTCGTCGGCTCGCGCTCCATTGCGGTTAGTCGTCTCCGCGCACTAGAACGTCGATTTAAATCTGATCCGGAGTTCAGAGCTGGTTACAATAGTTTCATGCGGGACTATCTCGATAGCGGACACATGGAGGTAATTCGCAATCCATTCCCGTCGGATGGCCACATTTATTATCTACCGCACCACGGTGTGTATAAACTCGATAGCACTACCACTAAGTTGCGGGTAGTGTTCAACGCGTCCTCGCGAGGCCCGGACGGTCTGTCGATCAACGACACCCTGCTCAGCGGTCCGAGGCTGCAGCAGGACCTGCTCGCCATCCTGCTT